GCACAGAGTGCCATGCTGAGCAGATGTGGGTTACGCACACAGATGAACTGTGCTGATATTTTTATTCTGCCCTTAATTTTTACAATTCCCATCCCTGGAAATCCAGCTAACATTATGAAGTAAGTACCCTATGTATCTCAGAAACACAACTCTCATTTTGAAAACCCACCTCTGAAAATCCACCCTGCCACTTTGTTTCTTTCCTGGGGACAACTGCCCATTAAACCACTGGAGGTTGGTGAGAATCAGTCCGATTATTAGATACCTGCACTGTCTAATTTGAGAGTTTAAAAACACCTGGCTGTGATTTCTGTGTATGTCGACCGTAGTCCAGGACAGTAATACCCGATGAAGACTTAAGGTGCTATGGCGATGGTCTTCCTGACTTTGTATACTGCAATCTCTTTAAGGCGTGGGACAGTGAAGAAAGAAACCCCCTGCACTGAGACAGGACCAAGTCACTTTAGACCATCCTTCACAGGTGTCTGTCCCACCTGTTTTTTAAAGATTCCATAATCTCCATTAGAAGCCCGTTTCAGAACTATAGTTAGAAGGTTTTTCCTAATAGCTAACTCAGTGGGTCTCAAACAGCATGGCAGCGCGACCGCCTTTTGACAACCAAAATGACTCCATGATCCCAGCAGCCTGTGTTACTCTAGACTCAGTGCCAGCCTTCGGGGGGTGGCAAGCTGGCCAACTACCCAGGTCCCCGTGCTACAGGGAATCCTGTAAAGCTACATTGCTCAGGCTTCAGTCCCACGTGAACAAGGAGCAATGGTCTCAAGTTGCGGTGGGAGAGGTCCAGGTTGGATATTAGGAAAAACTATTTCACTAGGAGAATGGTAAAGCACTGGAATGGGTTACCTAGGGAAGTAATGGAGTCTCCATCCCTAGAGGTGTTTAAGTCTCTGCTTGACAGAGCCCTGGCCGGGTTGATTTAGTTGGGATTGGTTCTGCCTAAGGCAGGGGGCTGGACTTGATGACACTCAGAGGTCTCTTCCAGCTCTACGGTTCTATGATTCTATGATTCTAGGGGGCTCAGGCTGCTGTTAATCAGTCTAGCTCCTCTGATGCCAACAGATCTGGGCCAATTGATCCCAGCTGAGGACGTCTTCTTGTTGAGGTTTTCACTGTTCCAGGAACTAGCTGTCACTCCAGGTAGCATGTAAAAGAAACACAGTTCCTGGTAACACGACTCCAGGAAAGATTCTTCTACACCACAGCTAAAGGTAAGGTGAAGACTCGAGAGGTGACAATTTATAATCCAGAGGAGGCCCAGCTTCAGAAAAAAATGCCAACAGTTTTTCTGAAATAGAAAAAAAAAGCCCCTCTGTCCTGGTTTAGGTGCAAATTGCCATTTCATTCACCACTCTTCCACTGCTGTACAGAGAAGATGCTAATTTCACCGCACTTGGGAGTCCAGAATTACAAATGAGCAGAGCAAGATGAAGCTCTTTGAACTCTCCTCCACGGGGGTGAAAAATGCAATTTCCAGATTTGAGACCGGTGTGCGTGCCTTTTATTTATTTAACAGTGATCCAATGAGATGCAAGCACTCCCCCTTGCAGGGACATCCCTTTATCAGACAGCAAAAGGTTACATCAGTAACAACATCAAAAGAGGCTTGTGACACACACACACGCCTCATGATTAAATATTCAGCGAAGCAGGGGAAATAGCTTAATGGCTCTACTTGCACAACAGCGAGTTTCAACGAGAGCAGAAGTAGGGGGGAGCCTCATTTATGTTGCAGGTACTCAACAGCTGAAAGCGCACACAGTATGCTCCCAAATGAGAAGAGTGTTTCCGACGAGCGTTTAATGTGCTTGGGGGTACGCAGATTCATGCATGCATTTTGCTTGCCACCCGCAGTCACAGCTGTTTGATTCCAACTTGGCTTGCCATGCATTTTGCTTGCCACCCGCAGTCACAGCCGTTTGATTCCAACTTGGCTTGCAAAAATAAACCCCCCAAAACCCAACCTTTTCACAAGATGCCCTGTATTCATTAACAAACTCCCTTCAAAGCTGGACTAGAATTAGAACATTCAAACATGAGCACAAGGGATTCCAACTCAGCATGCTTGGCTGCTGTAAGCTACCGTATGCACCAGGCTAGGCGTGTGGTTTTACCAAACTCTCCCCCGTTGTTTTTGTTTGCAATGCCAAGAAGCTGGGTTATTAGTTACTCCCCTCATGCCATGTGGTGTTGGCGCTGTGACAAAAAAAGGGCAAATCAGATTCACAGCAATAAAATCCTCTTAGCCGAACTGACCCATTACTCTGCTTCCAAGCGCGTGCAGCGTGTCTGGTAAGCCCGAAGCAGCCCGTCGTTCATGGTTTATGGGTTAATCTGAAGTGAGGTAGTGTCTCCTAGACCCCTTCCCCCAAGCGCAGGCAGCTCTTATCAAATGATCCTGCAGACTGTCTTGTAACAGCAGCAGCAGCAATAACCTCACTTGTGGAGATCGTGGCTATAAAACAGGACTGTCGTTAGCCTTGATTTTAATGCACTTTCTGCAGGCCTGGCTGTGGGCTGACAATGATTAGCCTTGAAAGCGGAGTATAACAGAGTGAAGCTGTGGATTAATTTGCAATGAATGCAGGCTCTCTGTACACGCACGTGACTCTCATTCATGTGTAGAAGAGGTAGGTGGATACACCAATGGGAGAACTGACCACGGCATTAACTAAAACTTGTATCTTGCACATCCATCTGTACCACGGGCCACAGAGGAGTTCTTAATGGGAAGCAGCTTGGTGTTGGAGAAGGAAACCTAATTTGGGGTTGTTCTCTTGAGGATACAATTACCACAACATACGTGGAAGAGACAGGATACATGTATTTGGCTGAACCACCAGCGGGCTACACTGGTTTTCAAATCCCTTTCCAGTAGCTGCCAGGGCTGTAAAAAAATCAATGAGAACATGCATGCAATGGGATTTGGTAGGCAGTGCAATACACACTGACCTTGTCATGCAGGCTAGGGGTGTGAGTGATGGTTTCGAGAGGCTGAAATATGGCACGGATTGCTGAGACTTGATTAGAGATCCTTCCGGTGACTGGGGGGCAAGGAAGATGTGCACAGAAAGAGCTTCAGAGGAAAATAGAGGCTCGGAAAGAAATGGGGAAGGACGTCTCAGAAATGTATTGAACGGACTCAGACCAAACAGTTAAAGTTTCAAGATACGAGGCGCACGCTTTTGTTTTGAGATTAGATGGGAAAGAGAATCCACCTCTAGACACCAGAACATGCAACAAAAGGGCTTTGCAGAGGGCCGGTCCAACAGATCTTTGAGTTTGCCATTCCCGAGGGTGGAAAGGGTTACTTATGCCACAAAGGCAGCACTGGTCAGCTCCCGGCCGCAGAAGCACCTCACATTAGTGTGTGATTGAGGAAGGATCAGCCCTGATGGGCTCCAGAGATGACCCCCGCCTCCCCCCAGCTCCTTAGCCACAGGAGGTAGCTGAGGGGTCTTGAGAAAGAAAAAGCCTATCACTGACTTTTGGGAATGAGGAGAAATGTTTCCCCCGCAAAACAAAATGGAAAATGCCACAGCAACTGAGCCTTGCCCACATGGAGACTCCCAAGGGGAGAAGCTCCCAGAGAACCGTGCCACCTCACATGACATCGTTTTCCTGAAATTCAAAGACAAGTCTCCCGTCAAGTTCAATTGTGCAGTAACAAATCCATAGTGGGGAGTGAGTTAAATCTCCCTGTACAAACACGGCTTTCCAAAGGCTACTTCCTTACATGGCACAACATATATTTTGGTGGGAAACGATGAGTGTCAAGAGATAACAGTCCCTGGTCACCATGCAGCTCCTTCATTTGCAAACTCTGAAATTGGTGCAGCATTAAATCCACTTGACCAAGTCAAATTGCCTATTGAGCCTGGAGTTCTCATGCACAAAATACAATTGCTGCTAGGGAAGATTTTCAAAGCTGCCTAAGGGAAGAAAGCAAACAA